GCGTGCTGCCAGCTGGGCACGCAAGATGCAGCTGAAGCCCTTGCCAGGTGGCTGCTCGGCCGCGTCGAAGACGCCCGAGATCGTATCACAAGAGGTTCGGGCAGAACAACGACCCCGCATGGACGATATTGAAGCGCGATACAAGGCAGCAGAAGACTGGAACCTCTTGTCTAGGAGTGTTTGGAGATTGCGTTTTTGGTGCGCCTGGCCGCAGCAGTGGAGCACTCCGCCAGAGTGTTTGCGCATCGTACTTCATCCCAAGTGGACTAACGATCGCAAGCCAGCCCGGCGACATGGAGTAGGTTACGAGGATCAACGCCCGAAGATTACTCAAACACGAGATATGTTGCTGGGCTTGCTGCGATCAAGCAGATTATACGACGGACACCCAGTTTCTTGGCACAGCGCGCAGGCGGCACGCATACCAAAGCACAACAGCAAGCTTGACACAGAGGGCGAGCGCATCATCATGGTCATGCGCACGCTCGGTCGCGCGTTTCACGGCGCAGTACTTGCCAGAAAGGACCCCCCATGGGACCCGCCCAACTGGATCCACGGAGGCCTTAAAAGGAGGAGGAGGGAAACGGCTATGGGAGTACAGATAGCAGGCAGCTAGAGGATGCAGGCCGCGGGCATTTCACATCTGCAGCGGCGTCATGACGCCACAGGCGCATACTACACTATTAGAGTGCATCGACTCCTGCTACGCGCCAGAGGACCGCGCGTTCATCAGAGATCGAATTGTGCACAATACCTTTCTTCTCGAAGGTGAGACGGGGCCCTTCCGGCAGCAGGGAAAGAGCGGTTTATTTCCAGGAGACATTGGGGCCGCGCAGCTCTTCCGCCGCGCGTGCTCGGAGCCAGTGCTGGAGTGTTTCGCTGACATCACGGTCATCAAGGACTGGTTCCCCTTTTTTAGAAGCCTCTCTCCCATGGGACCCCGAGTGGATGGAACAATTTTCTATGGCGGGGTATGTAGACGACATCGCAAACAAGGTGGCAGAGGAGGGGGAGGGCAGCATGGGGGAGACTATCTCACGTGGGAGTGCTATGGAAAACGAGGCGTTAGACAAGGGGCTTGGGAGGGTGGGCGCTGGACAGAACATCAGCAAGCAAGAGAACATATGCTGTATCAGAGGCCGTGGGGCCCATCTGATTCAACGTGGGCTCTGCAGTGGAGTCGTTCAGGGGGTCGCTGGCCGCGCGCTTCATCGCTGCCGCTATCTAGGAGGCATGCAGTCGGCATCATTTACCCCAGGCCCCGAGCTGCACAAGCGCTTGAATGCAGTGAAGGCGGCGTTTCACAGCATGGACAGATTTTGGTATTCTGACGCGCCGCTGTCGATTAAGCGTGCACTTGTGAGGGGACTTCTGGTGGACACCGCGTCGTCAGGGATGGAGGTAGTGGTTCACGTTTCTGGGCCCCTTCGAGAAAACGACCTTCGGCACCTTCAGGGTTTTATCATAAAAAATGCAGGGCGATTATTTCTGGCACATCGTTCTGGGACACGCAAGCACAGCACGAGCGTGCGCTACATCACCATGAAGTCCTCAAACGTTTTAAGCTCGCCCCACTGTTTCTTGAACTTCGCATCAGAAGGCTGAAATGGTTGCCAGAAATGGTTGCACGCAAGAAGGATACGCACAATATCTGGTAACCGTCTTCGGCAACACGAGGTTCGATGATCAGATTTTCACCGACGACGGCCGAGTGGCCGACTCTGCAAATCCATGGGCTCGACAAGCTCAGGAGGACCTAGACAGCCTTCAGGGGGCGGAGGCTGGTGCAGCATTGTATTCGACGCAGACACCTTTTGATTCTTTGTTCCAGGAGCCGACCGACTTCTGCAGCATTGACGCCGGAGAGTTCAGAGAGCGTTTCCTCCTTCGAGATACAGAAGCTCGTTCAGCTGCTGGTCCTGCAGCTGGTGGGGAGCACCGTTGCTTGGAAGCGCGGGGTGACGGAAGCGTATGCAGCTGGCTTTGGCCGCCAAAAAAACAACTATACGCGCGCATCGCATCGGCAATAGGGGGGTCGCATGGTCGAGCAAACATAACAAACGTCGTCACGAACGCGAACTACTGCGTCCAATGTGAATCGACATTTCGAGATAATGACACAGCAAGGCAACACATTGCAAGCAGCTTGAAGAGGAACTACTGTCCGAAAGGTCGCGCACGATTCGCTACGCCTCTTATCGAGCCCAAATTGGAATGTGTTGTATGTCTACCATTGTTCGGGACAGCAGCTGATTACTTCAAGCGTGCCAGGGAACGCATTGTTCCACATCTGCTTCCATCATTTTCACATGCGTGAAGTTCAGCCCCCACGTGATGGAGGGGGCGAGCTGGCTAGCAGCACCACGCCCTCGTGGGTCAGTTCACGCCGCAGGGCCGCCCAGGAGAAAGGGGAAAGGAGGAGCAGAGGCAGCGGAGGAAGACGAGGGCGAGAGCATGATGAGCACCCTCGCGACCATGCAGAGCCTTCTCGGTCAACTCGAGGGCAGGGTCGGGACGCTGGAAAACGAGCCGCACGTCACCATCCTGATCAACAAAAAGTGCGACTTGCCAGTGCAAATTCAGGATTGCTTCCAGCAGTACCTCAAGAGGCGGAAGGAGGACCCAGAGGCCGACCTCGGACCCCCAGGGTGCCAGCGCCTTTCAGGGGCCCTGAGCGCTTTGCTCAGCTTCGATCACAAGGATTGCTCACCCAGGATGCGATCAGTGCTCGCGGGGTTGCAGCGCTTGTACGACATGCTCAATGCGGGGGGGGCCCGACAGCGCTCGGACGTGGGTGGAGGAGATGATGATGTGGCCAACATTTCAGAAGCCAGTGAAAGTACCCAAGGTGCGCATGTTGTTCAGTTGCCGCGGAGAACTCGCACTGCCGAAGGAGCAGGCGGACCGCGAGAAGTTGCTGAAGGCCATTAGTCAGCCCGAGGACGATCTGCATCAGCTGCTGCCCGCAGAGATGCCAACCTCGCACTTGCAATTTCGAGGCACACGGACGCCTGTGGAGACGATCATTGCCGAGACGATGCGCAGCATGGGGGGGCGAGATCATGGGCGGACGCGCACCGAGGGGCAATCTAGTACGACAGATTGGCCGTGGATGGGGTGCTAAGGGTAAGGGCGACGGTACTTGAGTCTTACTTGAATGATGTCTCACTGGAACGATTTATTGGAATGATGTCTCTGCATATATTCTCGAGCTGCATGCTGATAGGCGCGTGCCCCGCTCGTCGCCGCGCCCCTCTGCTTTTCTGCGTTTTCCCTTCTGGGCCCCAGGGGCCGCGAGCCAGGCTGAGGCCTAACGGCCGAGGCCCTCGGCCGCGGAGTTCGGGCGCTCTCGGAGGCTCTTGAATTTGAATGGCGTCAGAGCGCGGCGTCTCTTGTACACCTGCTGTACTTTGACGCATTCTGCCAAGCTTCATGCCACCAGCTGCTGGACGGACAACCTCGCCTGCAGCTACTGCTTATCTTTTCAGCCCGCTGGAGGGCCACCGTCGCGCTGCTGCCGCGCCTCTACGACTTCGTGCGAGGCTGGCTAACGCCTTGGCCGCGCCCCCGTGCTGGCGCCCCTCTGCGCGCATCAGCTTTTGCTGGCAGGTCGCAGGAACTGACGAGAGAGGGGTTTGAGCTAAGCCTCTTGACCCCAACCCGGGGCCTCCTTTTCACACGCCTCTGCTTGGATTTGGTCTGAATGGGAAGAGAGGAAGAGAGAGAGAGAGAGAGAGAGAGAGAGAGAGAGAGAGAGAGAGAGAGAGAGAGAGAGAGAGAGAGAGAGATAGAGAGAGAGAAGAGAGAGAGAGAGAGAGAGACTCCTCCTCATCATCAGCATCACCCCCCCCCTCCCCCATCCTCCGCCGCCCTCGTCCTCATCCTCGTCCTACTCCGCCGCCGCCTCCTCCTCCTCCCCCTCCTCCTCCTCCTCCTCCTCCTCCTCCGTCTCCTCTTCCTCATCCCGCTCTTCCTCCTCCCCCTCGTCCTCCTCCGCCTCCTCCTCCTCCTTCCCCCCCCCCGCCTCGCCCTCCTCCTCCACCTCCTCCGCCTCCTCCTCATCATTCTCATCCTCCTCTTTCTCCTCCCCCCTCCTCCTCCCCCTCATCGTCATCATACTCATCATCAGCAGCATCATCATCACTCCTCCCCCTCATCCTCCTCACCCTCCTCCTCCTCCTCCTTCTCCTCACCCTCCTCATCATCATCATCGGCATGATCAGCAGCATCATCATCAGCATAACCATCATCATCATCAGCATCCTCATCATCATCAGCGTCAGCTGCATCATCAGCATCATAATCCGCCTCCTCCCCCTCTCCTTCCCCTCATCCTCCCCCTCCCCTCCTCCTCCTCCTCCCCTCCTCCTCATCATCATCATCCTCCTCCTCCTCATCTCCCCCTCCTCCCCCCCCCTCGCCCATCCTCCTTTCCCTCGTCCTCCTCCGCCCCCTCCTCCTCCGCATCCTCCTCCCCCTCCTCCTCCTCCTCCTCCTCCTCCTCCTCCCCCCCCTCCTCCTCCTCATCCTAGTCCTCCTCATCCTCCTGCTCATCCTCCTAGTCTTCCTCCTCCCCCTCCTCCTCATCCTCGCCCTCCCCCTCCTCCTCATCCTCCTCATCCTCCTCATCCGCCTCCTCCTCCCCCCGTTCATCCTCATCCTTTTCCTCCTCGTCCTGCTCTTCCTGCTCCGCATCATCCTCCTGCTCCTC